TTGCATTTTCCTTTATGCAAACTTTATTTGAATGCAATCAAAGAATTTTGAGTGAAGTTGTAGGGGTAATTAGAACCCACAGATTTCAAAGCTCCAGACAGCCATGAAAGAGCGATTTTTATGCGTATTTTGGAGGGAACTCAAACAACTTCGTGGAGTGTGAGGTGATGTCACAGTAAAGCCTTTGGTCGTTTGAGCTTCCTTTATTAACCACCTTACTTACACGACCAACTCCATCTCTCTGCCTTTCTCTGCTCATCAGAAAAGGTGATAATAGCTTCAATCAAACTTGATTTTCTTGTAATTAAAGGTAATTCCGATCACTTGTTTGAGCCTTTTTACCCATGGATCTATGTGATTGGTTGCTTAACTAAGAAACACTTCCTTGTTCACTTCTATATGATCCAAACGTGATTGACAGAAATGGCGAAACAATGGTTCAGACCTGGCACCATGTCCTGCCTAATTTCTAAGTTGAAGTATCTGAGACTACCTAGCATGGTCTTTGTTAACTTCTTGAAAGCACGCCAGTAATAGAATGACAAGCTGGAGACGTCTTTGGTAAATTATTGGAGAAAACCATGAAATTGCAAAATTGATTACTCAGTATTGCAACGTCAACCTGTAGTTTAGCGTAATAGTACTAAATTTTAACCCATATTATTTTCATTTACTGCATATTTCTAATAGCTAATTGAGCTAATCATAGAGGATGTACCCAGTCGAGGGAATTGGCTCGGTGCAGGCAGCAATGGAAAGAACAATGTAAACCGCGAGTCCTTCGTTACCTCTTCTCGGATTGAAGCAAAAAATGTTCTCATCGTCATTGTTCTCTCCACTGTGTCGGCTTTTCTCGCCGCTGTTCTGATCAGCGCCATCCTCTGTATGGTGCGTCCTTTCCACAAGTCTCGCAGGCGACGCGGTGGAGACGTAGTCTTGAACGGAGGTATCAATGGTATTGGCGGGAGTGGCACGATGAAACTGTCACCCTTTGCATTAGAGCCACACACAAGCCCTACTCTTCTCATGCACCCGCGCAGCGGACCTCTTTCCTGCTCAGATTCGGCCACTCTGGACGGGTGCTCTGCTGTTGGCGAAGGTACATGGATTGTGGGCACCACAGGAACTCTCATTAGCGCATACGATGGCAACGAAATAAAGAATGAGACTTTTCGCTTACAGACTGATGGCATGGTACGTCTCGTTTGAAACAGTATGCAGCGTTATGGGAGTGGTGCGTTTTGGCATTCTATCAAAATTTGCTTTGCTGAGGACTTAATTAAGGAATTGGTTGGACGAATATTTTACCTCTCGCTCAGTTCCCCAAATAACACATTTTTTCCAGAATTTTCCCAGTGCATTGAAAATCCGCTAAACTCATTACTCATGGTTAATGAGGAAGTTCTGGTCGCACTTTTGCTTCTTCAGTTTAATTTAAACGAACGCTTGACTAACATGATTTAAAATATCACTCCACATTGCCGTAATAGCCATGCAGTTCGGTATAGTAACATCTGTTCTTGGGGAGTTTCTTTCCTACATTTTGAAACTAATGTATTGGTTAGTAGTGGTGCATTGAAGTTCGTGGGTTAAGGGCTTCTGTTTTCCATATTTTCTGCAATGTAATCTAGTAATTACAAACTTTGGCTTCAATTACAAATCACTCGGGTGTTCAGAATGTGATTTGGGCTCTTAAATTTGTTTCAACTACCTTTTGGAAAATCACCGGAGTATTTTTGAAACTTAACAAAGACACCTTGCCCAAAATGACTTGTGGGCCAATGGCTGACAACAAATTAACGTGGTAGCAATAGAACCTCAATCCGAATGCATGCATCTGAATTGGTTGGCCGCCGGTACTTTTGTTGATAATGGCATGCTACAGATTAATTTTTCCTAATCCAAGTTGCTAAATGCATAAACCCTTAATTCTGCGATTTTGCTTATGATTT